GAGCACTGAAAAATTGATGCTTTTGAACTGTGATGTTGGAGAAGACTCTTGAGAGTCCCTTGGACTGTAAGGAGATCCAACCAGTCCATCCTAAAGGAAATCAGTCTTGAATATTCATTGGAAGGACTAATGCTGAAGCTCCAATACTTTGGCCACCTGATGCAAAGAACTTACTCACTGGAAAAGAACCTGATGCTGGGGAAGACTGAATGTGGGAGAAGGGGACGATAGAGGAGGAGATGGTTGCATGGCATCACCACCGACTCAATGGACATGAGTTTGAGTAATCTCCGGAAGTTGGTGATGGACAGGGAGGCCTGGTGTGCTGCAGTCCATGGGGTCGCAAGGAGTCGGACACGACTGAGCGACTGAACTGAACTGAACCAGAAACTACCAAGAGGCAAGTGGGGAGGGGGTTTACCCAGGGTCTCAGAGGACACAGGATCTTGTTGACACTTTTAGTCTTTAGGGGTTCCAGCCTCCAGAACTGTGTGAAAAGGAATATGTTGCTTTAAGCCACCCAATATGTGTTACTTCTTTATGGCAGCCCTAGGAAACTAAGGCAACAGTAACTTTAACTTCTAATTTACGTTCCGGCCCAAGAGTGCCATACCCACAGACCACTCCAGTACTACGTAGGCGCTCAATCCCGTCGCTGGTAAAGGAATGAGTTGAGCTTCAGCAGTCCTACTGACCAAGAATTACCAGGCATTTATGAACTAACTGCTGCAAGATGCACAGCCAACGCTCAGCATTACTGAAGCAAGATATGTGACCACAGAGAAAACCGAAACACAGTGAGAAACTAAATACAGCATGGGGCAGGTGGAGCAAAGCGAGAAACACAAGCAACTGACGGGGTACGGGGGCCTCGATTTCACGGAGGACCCCTGTAGGAGAAGGGGGTTCTTTTCTGAGAAGATGGCGTCTCCGGTTCGCTCTCCCAGGCGCCGCTGAATGGCTCCCAGGCCTCTCCCCACGGCCGTGGACCCGGCAACAACAACCCACTGGCCAGCGTCCCTCCGGTCTGTACTGCCCAGGCGAGAGCATACCTCCTACAGTGTCACAAGCTTAATTCTCGGCGCCTGCGCACGGCGCCTCGACTCGACGCACCGCCTTACGCTGCCGCGTGGGGCAGGACTTCCTTCTGGCGCCCCGGAAACCGGAAGGAGCTCTTTTCTGCAGGAAGGAGAAGGGAGTTGCCACCGACAACGGACATCGGACACCGGAAAGTAGGCTCCTTGTGTTGCGTAAGGTAAGGCTGATCTCTGGCCATTCGGCGGGGCGGATGACTGCAGCGACCTTGTAGGTAGGCTGTCTGTAGCATCGGGCTTCAAGGGATGCGGCAGGGAACCGGAGTTAGAGGTGAGGGGTCGGTGTATCTGTCGCCGGGTCAGGCTACCAGCGACCGAGGTCTCGTTACTAACTCATTGTCTTCAGCTCTTTTGACTTCGCCTGAAAAACGAGCTTGATAGCTCACGGAAAAGTCGTGAGGATAGATACGGAAGGGAGAAATCCACACCCAGAATGAAGTTTTAAGAAAAAACTTAAGTAGGTGTTAATTTCACGGGGGCAAGATCTGTGTTGCGTAAGTTACGTAACGTGAAAGTCTATACGAACCCTGCCTTTCTGAGTCGATGATTCCTGCCTGGTACCAGCGCCTGTTGCATTAATTTGAAAAAGTACACTCACAGATGGTCATTTTTAAGCTTCCCGAATTGGCCAGTAGCGTCATCATTTGGTATTAGAGGTGGAACAGGATCGTCTAGGTCATACCCCTCCTTTCATCTTAAATTGAAGCACAGTCTCTGAGAGGAGACCGACTGAAAGTAACACAGGTTGTTAGTGAGACAAACTAGAAGTGAGGTTTCATTTCCATCCCAGAATTCTTTCCTCCACACCGTGCTGTCTCTTTGGATTGCTAAACAAGTCTTTGGGGGAAGAAATGAGCGGGAATGAAGAGGGAGGTGTTGTACATTTAGGTGCATTATGAATCCATCCAAGGTATACTGGGACAGAAGAAAGGTTGAAGAATCCTTCTCCCTGCTCCTGCCTGTACACAGAAATTTGAAACCCACTTTCTAATAAAGAGACTTGTAATTTTGGAAGACAATTTGATGTCTCTCTCTCTCTCTCTTTTTTTCAGGTATATGAGCACTTTGAAAGCAGAACACCATTGTTTCCATGATTCAGTCATTCAGAATTTATGAAGAAACAGTTCTTGCCTTTGATTGACTTATAGTCAAGTGGAGTAGACATAGGTCATGGTGGCAGTATAGCTACTTAAGTATTCTGAAGGAGGTGAGTGTGTGGCACTTAACTCAGCCTGAGAGAGAAAAAATTAGGCAGAGCTTCTAAGAAGTGACTTTTATACAGGCATTTATACAGGTGGACAAGGATCAGGGAGGGTCATTCCAGATTTCCAGGAATCTGTGGCTGAATTCTAAATTGTACAGAAGACACTGCCACATGTTTTTCCCGGAGCATTAGCCTTATTTTTGGATCATGCTTCTCTNCCCCGTAACTGGATGGGTATTTGGGATATGAAAGGAAGTCAGAGGGTGGTAAATCTTTCTGAGTGGCAGAATAATAGGATGGCTTTACCAAGAAGCAATGTATGTACTCAGTAAATCCTTTTTTAAAACTTAGTTTCTTGTTTTTTTTAATTGCTTGGTTGGGAACCTTCATTTTTTTGTTTGGTTTTTTCCCAGTGCATGGATTATATTCTTGTCTCCGGTTCAGTCTTTTTGAATATAAGGACATTTAAGCTTAGGAATGAGCACGGGGGAGACGGCAAGATTAGAATCCAAGTTCATACTACAAAAGCATTTTTGTTGGCTCTGTCTGGGTGACTGCATGTTGTTTTAATCAGCTGCAAGCTGTTAAATTGAATTTGCATAGCTCACATAAAGGACAGTTTAATTCCACCAGGATTTGAGTGAGGTGGAAATAGAGCAGAAAAACCTGAATCTGTCAAACTGGGGAAAATGAAGAAAAGGCAATCAATTAGTAAGTTGGGCTTAATGTTTTTTTCTGGGATTGGGGAATTGCAGAAAAGAACCTCTGTAGTAGTAAGACGTGAACTGTTAAGTAGCATTTCTAAAATATTTGGGAGCATTTTACTGACTTGGGGCATAGTTGTGCCTTATGATTAATGCTCCTTGCAGGAGACTTCCTAATGGACAGAAAAGATGGTGACTGGGTGGACTCTTTCCAAATCACAAAGTGTTATCTTGCATTTAGGTTCATTGACCATTGGTTGCTGTGAAGGAACCATATGTAAGAGTTCAAATTTCTTAAAGCTTTAAGTTATAAAAGTAATAAATGACCGTTCCCTCAGTATCTTGACATGCTAGAAGACAGTGTTCTAAAAGCTGGACTTGTCATGTTCTTCTGGAGACTAACAAAATAAGAGTCCTTGAAGTCAAGCTGACTCTGCTTTTAGCCTCCTACATGAAAAGGTAGATAGAACAGGTCTTGTGTGCAAAATGAATTCAAGACCTACTTATCTACCAACAGCAATAACAGTTTGTATCATCTTCCTGTAGAAAACAGGAGTAGTAAATACAGAGATGAGTGAGGGTGAAGACTTAGCGAACCCATGAGACTCTTACTGTTAATTTATAGGAAAGCAATTGGACATTGGAGAGGTTGGTTAGGAAAGCGGAGGAGAGGACCTTTCCTGTAGTGCAGGCTTCAGCACATCCAGGAAGTCTCCGGATGGCTAAACCTCCTTGGATGGAGACCAGCATAGTGTTGTTTACAGAATGCTGCATCATGGTGAATCGTGCTGGGGGCAGCTGTCAGTGTGTGAGCCATGTAAGGTTTTCACATGTGCTGGAAGATGGAAAGAGCAGACTGATGACCAAGTACAAGCTTCAGAAATATTTTATTAGACGTGTACAAGTGCTTGCAAACTGTTGTTTGAATCAACAGGAAGTCAGTTATTAAACATAATACTTCTCCAAAGAAAAGGTGATTCAGTTTTACTAGAAACCAGTGTCATTTTATATCCCAAGTCTTTAACCAACTTTGCAATCTCATCTAATAAGGGTGCCTTAGGTTCTGAGTGTTCTAAATCTCTGTTAGTCTACACCAGGATTCTATGGCGGTTTACATATTCCCTTTCCCCTTTGTTAAGGTGGGGAGGCCAAAGCTTATGTTAATTACTTGCTCAAGGGTTATAGGGTGATATAGGTAAAGCTAAGAAAAGAACAGATTTTGATACCTTTTGTCTTAATTGCCCATTATGAAGGATTGTGGCTACAGTGGTCTGATTTTTTTTTTTTTTTATCTTTTTCTGTTTTGTTTAACAGATTTATCAGCAGGTTGCAGGTGAACCTGGCCTTGAGGTAAATCCTGCCCCTTGTTGAAATGTAGTTTCAGCATATAGTTCTTGGCACTTTAAGGAATTAGAATATTTTACAAAAAAAACAAAAGTTTTGTTTTGGTTCTTTTCTAGACTTTTTTTTTTTCCTTGTAGAAGATGAGAAACATGTTAAAGGTTCTTTATGCTGAGTAATTGTGATGCTGGAAGTTGGTCATCTGCCTTGTTTAAATTAAGTGGATTTTAAATGTCAAAGCTAATTGTAGACCATTGTTTCTTGATTAAAATCTTATTAAAACCTTATACGTGCCTAGTTTTTATCCATTTTATCTTATATGTGAAATAAATCCTGTTAGAACCCTGCGTTCAAACTTATTTGATCTGTGAGGTCCAACTTCCTACTCAGTTTTTTTAGTAGCTGAGAGCATTTTTGAATACACACACACACACACACACATATATTTTAATTGCAACTTGAGCCATTTCTGTGCTACTTCCTTATTTCAGGGTAGGGCAGGTGTGTGTGTGTGTGTGTGTGTGTGTGTGTGTGTGTGTGTAAGGAGCTTTAAGATTGTCAGGTTGAGTTGTGAGTTTAAGAATCTGAGTTCTTATTTATATGAATAGGCAGGGTTTTGAGATAGGAGATAAGAGGGGTTCCTTGTGTCAGACTCAGCATGTACTGGGAAGCATGAAAGATTTTTCAGTTAACACAAAACCCTAAGTGATGGGATCCGGGCATATATGTTTAAAGAAGCACCCACAGGACATAATAATAAATTGTCTCTGAGAACTGGCACCTAGAAACTTGAACTCAACAACCAAACCATAAATGCAGCCTAGAGGGCTGGGCATGGAGCTCACAGAACACAAGAGAACAGTGAGGCAGGAGGCCCCTAAGCCAGCGGCTGAAGACTACCTCTCCCCACAGCGCTCAGCTCTGCACTTGGCGGACAGATGTTTTCTCCTTAAAGACTGTTGTGCATCGCTCTCTGTCATACATGGTTCTGCATTCTCATGTTTATCATTAAATCTCCTCTCCTTTAAGACAAGGGGCTCCCCAGGTGGTGCTAGTGGTAGAGAACCCGCCTGCCAATGAGGGAGACATGCGGGTTTGATCCCTGGTGGAGAAGATCCCCTGGAGAAGGAAATGGCAACCCACTCCCGTGTTCTTGCCTGGAAAATCCCATGGACAGAGGAGCCTGGCAGGCTACAGCCCATGGGGTCGCACAGAGTCAGACATGAGTGAAGTGACTTGGCGTGCATGCACACATAAATGTTATTTTTCTCTTTGTTCAAAGGGAGACAAACTCAGGGAGATAGTGTGACTTTTCTAGGGTCTAAAGTAAAGTGGCTATAATAGCAATCAAACTTGGGCCTTCTAATTTCAGATATGGTTCTCTTTACCTTATAGGTCAGTTCCTAGAATCAGTTGCAACTACTAGTGTCTATGTTGACCAGACCTACAAGGCCCCCCCCCCGGCCCCACACCATGTCCCCAACATGCAGTGAAAGCAACACGTTTAGTATTTGTGTGTGACACCAGGAAGCACGTGATACTGCATCGTCACCAACCTGGCCACCAAGCCCCAAGCGCCCCTTTTCTGTCACACTGCCTCCCCTCCCATCTCCTGGTTGTAGGTCTTTTGCCACAGCTTGAACGAGCCCTGCTGTCCCTCACGTGTAGAGCAGTGATAGGCTGAAGAGCGGTGGGTGGATGAAAAAGAAGCTCTTTTATTCAACAGATATTCTGTGCACGTGTCAGCCCTCAGGGACTGAGTGCTGAACAAGACAGACACTGTCTTGCCTCTGTGGAGTCAGGCATTACAAAAGTCACTTCAAAATTAGAGAACATAAATACCATGAAGGAGAGGAACAGGTTTTTAGAAAGTACTTGATGGGAGAAACCTCACCACTCAGACTGCCACTGACCACTGGGAAAACGAGAACGCTGCTGAGAAGAGCATACGGCTTCCCTGGTTCTCTTTGCAGATGGCCTCTTCTCAAGCCAGTTCTTGGCCAACAAATGAGATGTCACAGGTGCTGGGGCAGCCAGAGCCACTAACATGAATCTTCTCTCCTCCTCCAAGCTCCACAGGCCTTGGGGACTCAGATACTTTTCATATACACAAATAGACCAATGCAGTTTGACAACCTTAAAGACCTTTGAGTTTAGTTTGAGCCTTCATTTTAGAGCCAGGACTAGGACTGAGGAACCTGGCCTCACACAGATGGCAGTGCCCAGAATCCAATCAGGTGAAATGAACGCCAGCACGCCAGTCTGCCAGATAACATGAGCCATAAGTGACGTGCACGGTGCTTGAACGCCAAGTTCAGGCAGCTGAGGTGTGAGTGGCTGGGAGAGGGGTAGGTACCAAAGAGAGACAAGCGGAGTGGACTAATAGAAAGTGACATGCTCTGGCATCGAGATACCGTTGTGTATCTTCAGGCAGCCAGGCTTTTCCAGGGAAAAACAAGGATGCACAAACTGGTGAAGCTGACAGCTGAATGTATACAGATGCTGAGAAATGTCCACATTGAAAAATGACAACTTTGCATTTTCATAGTCTAACAGAATACCAATCTTCTTTGGGGGAACCGTTATTCTTATGTCTGGAGTCATCTTGTTGTGTAGAAATTCATACTTATGCCTGAAGATTAAATGTTGAGATAGCAAAGCTTCAGAAACTCTGTGGATGGGCTGTTTACAGAACATTTCAATTTTCAAATACTCCTATGATTATTGTTTTCCTTCATTAAATGACTATCAAAGTAACAGGCCATTTCTAAAACTATACATCTCTTTGTCCTAAGAAACTTACATTTCCAAACTCTTTTTGAGCAGCCACTTAACCTAGAAAACTTAACACACAGTATCATAAACTCATACTGCATCAAAATTTGTATAGAAATCATATGTTTAAAATGCGGATTTCAAGGTTCAGATGTGTAAATCCCCTGAAATAAATGACATTTGAAACAAGGAGTTTCATGATCTTTCATGCAGTAAACGGGGCCTTTACGTATAATCTGCACGTTACTGTGAGGCATCCCGTTCTTAAACTTTCAAACCAAGTGGGGTACCTGGGGGCCGTCACCACTCAGAACTGTATGCACTGGCACCCTCTCCTGCTGGGGGAGGGTTTCACCACGGAGTGAGGCTGTCTCTCCTGTGTGCTTTGGAAATGGCTGAAGCCAAAGCCAAGGGAATTGCCTGACGCTGCCCCACTATGGACATGTCAAGAGCTCTGTGGGCCAGCATGTGGGTCCACACAGTTGGGGTGAACACTTAAGAACACGCTGGAGCAAACCAGCCCTTTCCATCCCAGTTCACCTTATTTTTTCTCAACAGCAGTCACCCTCTACTTCCCTCCCACCTCCTATAGAGTCTAAGACTGTGAGTCAGTAAGTGCAAGTCCTTCATTGTGAACACACACACACACACCCCGACATCTTTCCGAGGTGGGACTACAAACCTGCTCAAGCGCTCAGCTTTTGCCCTTCCTGTCCTACTCTGTCTTGCGTTTCCACCCTTTTAGCCTTACCCCTCCCACTCCACACAGATGCCCATGCTTCCTTTATGCCCCTTGTTCTTAGCTAAGAGAGGAGACTGATTTTTAGTCTTACTTCAGGCAGAATATTCAAAAACAGTGTGTGGCTCAGTGCACAGTGTTTCTTGCATTCTCCAAACTGGGTCTGAGGTCTAGCAGAGTGCATTTTAGACCTAATATCTTACAGGAGGAAGGTTGCTCTTCTCACCTTTGCTTGGGCATGGCAACATTTAACTAACCATGATCGAGGCTTCACTGCATGAAACATTAATAGGTTTCAGCAAGCTGAGGGTCAGAGGTCCCATAGTACAAATGATGCTGGGAAAGGGGTGATAAAATTTTTTGCAATTTTTGAGATGGAGGGAGGTTGCACTCATGGCCTTCTAAGTCTGAAGTGTCTATTGGCCTGGGCTTTGTGGATTTTCCTCCATTAGAGGACAGAATGCTTTTAGCAGCAGAAGCAAACCAGAATTAATCATAACCATTAAGCTTCTGCCCACATCTACCAAAAAAGTTGCATTTGGGGCTTCAAGTCAAACTTCATTTAGTAACACTGAAGTTGAACATAAACGTAAAACTTAAACGTAAAACATAAACGTAAGACTTAGTGGTAAAGAATGCTGTCTTTGGAGCCAGATTACCTGGGTTTGAATCCAAGCCCTGAATCCATGTTGGCAGTGGCTCTGTGTAAAGAATCCACCTGCCAATGCAGGAAACGCAGTTTCCCTCTCTGGTCTGGAAAAGTCCCACATGCCATAGAGTAACTAAACCCGAGTGCTACGACTATTAAGCCTGCGGTCTAGAGCCCGGGAACCACAACTACTGAGCCCACAAGCTCTAGAGCCTGTGCTCCACAACAAGAGGAGCCAACACAATGGGAAGCCCACACACTGCAACTGGAGAGTAGCCCCTGCTCTGCGCAACTAAAGAAGGCCCGAGAAGCAACGAAGACCCAGCAGCCAAAATAAGTAAATGGGATAACACAACTGTGAGAAGTAAATGAGACAGTATGTGTAAGGTTGTTGAGCAATGCTTAACACAGAATAAGCGCTCCATAAATTTTAGCTATTTTATCAAAAGTACCCAGAGCTGCTTTCTCTTTCTAGCTAGACTAGGGAAAGGGGCAGGAAATGAGTCCTGAAACATCTTGGTGTATTTTAGAAAACATAGCATGGCCCTTTGTTATTACAGTGAAAACCTCTCCCTCTATTCTTAGCAAAGCACGTTTTGATCTCGGGTACCCAGATTTCGCCTTACCCTGATGACGAAAATGTGTGCCTCATGCACCACGAGAGGCGGTTTGCCCCCAGGTCCTCCTGTCTGGGGACATCTTCAAAGGCCACACCCACCGTGTAGTCCAAACACTCGTCCACCTCCACCTCCCAGTAATGGCGCCCTCGGACTGGAATCAGGTTTCCCATGACTGCAGCACACCTGGTTTTAGAAAGTAGAAGTATGTGTCATTTGGGGTGACCCACGCCTGGCTGTGCAGGTGAGTGACACCAACTGCTGGGGTCAGTCAGTGAGTGGTCAGGAAGGGTGGAGGCAGGTGTTCAAACACTCCATTTGCAAGGTGGCACAACCTTTGCTCTCAAAGCTCAGCTGCCTGATGCTGAAGAGCAGAAGAAGGTTAGTGCACTGCTGGTCACAGGTGAGGAGGAGACATGCCCACTCTGTGTGCTTTTTCAGCAACAGGGCTTTTACAGTAACAGAAAGGTTTAGTTCACTTGTTCCTTAAAAAAGAAAGAGACTGAGGACTTTCCTTGTGGTCCAGTGGTTAAGACTGTGCTCACCACGCAGGGAGCCCAGGTTCGATTCCTGCCCTGGAACTAAGAGTCCACGTGCTGCAGCTACAGCTCAGTGCACTAAATAAATAAATATTAAAAACAAATGAGCAAGGCCACAGGCCCAAACGGGCTCTGCGTGCCAGGCCCCGTGTCACCCGTCAGGGGCAGCTTAGTTACAGCTTTACCTACCCCTAAGTGGAATTTTAAACCAGTCAATAAGAACATTAGTTAGGTAATATGCCTGAGAGACCCCTGACCTTTCCTAAAGGAAAGTAACCTTACCACAGTTCACCTGCTTTAAAAAAAAATTTTTTTTTAAATTTTGTATTGGGGTAATAGCCAGGGAAGTTCCTTGGCCCCTATTTTAAGTCTTCTTTAAGTATCTGGAAAGAAGTAAGGTATAAATGGGGGCTTCCCAGGTGGCACCAGTGGTAAAGAACCATAGACAGAGGAGCCTGATTGGACATGACTGAAGCAATTTAGCACTGCATGCAAGGTATTAATACATCATTTTGACCTTAAGTACTAAGTTCTGAAATTAGCATCAATCCAGACCAACAGGGCACATCTTTGATGGACACCCCTCCCTCAGGTCTTGCACCTGCAAGATCATCATTCCTTCTACCAGCTTTGGTTTTTCACCAGGAGTTTTGTTAGAAAGTATCGCCCAGTGGGAGAGAGAGCTCTGGGCTCCGCACTGAGGGGCTGGATCCTTGTTCTCCCACTGCTCTGGGAGCCCAGGACCCCACTCAGAGGCCACTTCTCCCCTTCTGACATTAGTCAGACTCCTACTACCCCTCCCCAGCCTCCCACCTTCCCTCATTTCTGGGAGTCAGAGCCTGAAGCCCCTTTCAAGGCTGCATCAGTCATAATCCACCTGTACCCAGATAACAGCACTATGAGGGAGGTTCATGAACTGTTCGGGTGAGGGGCTGATACAGTACCTGGTAAACTGGGTGTCGCTGGGGACTGGCTCCCTGGTGGGGCCTCTGCTCTCGCTTCGCACAACTGTGAGCCCATCTTCGGATACAGTCAGCCAGGGATGGCAGGTGTGCTCGTTCAGGGGGAAGTAGCTGCCTGCGAGGGGAGGAGGTACACAGAGAACCCCCGAGCCAATCACTCCACTGCTTTCTCCACGTTGCACTCCACACAGGCCGGGGCCTTACCACGCGCAGCCGGCATTAACTCCCTGTCCGACATTGGTGAGCCTGGACCTTGCCTGGTGATGCCCCTCGTGCTAATCATGATGGCAGTTTACATGGGTCGGGCATTACTGGGTGTCTAGTACTGAGCTAAGCGGTTTGTTGAGTCTTATCTTACTCACACCTTACAAGTATCCAGGTGTTAGTATTTCCATTTTGTAGAAGAGGAAGCAGAGGGGCAGGGTGGTCCTATCATCAGGTGATGACAGAACTCAAACTGGAACCCCAGAGATGTCCCTGGTGGCTAAGACTCCATGTTCCCAATGCAGGAGGCCTTGGTTTCATGCCTGGTCAGGGAAATAGACCCCATGTGTCACAACTGAGACCCAGTGCAGTCAAATAAATAAACACTTCAAAAAACAAAATAAAAATAAACATAAGGAATAAAAATAACAACAACAACAAAACACCCAAACCCCAAGCCCAGCTGATTCCAGTGGCTGCGCTCTTCACTGGGAGGCTGTAAATACCTGCAGGTGAGCAGGAATTTCTAACCTGCTTGCCAAGGGGAATAGGAATTGAGGGAATTATTAGTGATCAGTTTGACAAAGGTTAGCAAAATCCAACTTTCAATGAGGGCAGCAGAGAGAAGGGAGGAAATCATACAACCATCTCTGAATTATGGTTAAAACAAAGCACATCAAAAAAAAAATGTTACAGAATGGGGATTTCCCTGGCAGTCCCTGGCTTCCAATGCAGGGCATGCGGGTTCCCTGTCTGGATGGGGAACCAAGTGCCCACATGATGGGTGGTGCGGCCAGAAAAAATAAAGTGGTCCCCTTCTGTAAAATGGGCCCCCAGGGCTTTGATTGCCCCTGAGTCCCTTCCTAGCCTGATTCGCCATGTGTTCGTATTAGTAAACATTTGTCGATTTTTCCAATGAAGTCACAGCAGTACTGGGTCTGCCACGAAGGGGTAACTCTGGGTCCAGTGAGTGTGTGGTGGGGGCACAGACCTGTGGTGTGGACGGTAGCGGGCTCACTCCTTGCGCTGGGGCCGCCCACGTTGAGGGCTCTCACATTGATGGTGTAGTTCTGTCGGGGCTGCAGCTGCACCAGGCACTCGCAGGTCGGAATGCCCACAACGGACCTGGGTGAGGAGGCATGCTGACATCACCCAGGGGCTGGGGCAGACAGACCCAAGCACCAGCCACTCCCCGCTGACCCCCAGCGGCAGCACAGGCAGGAGTGAGGTTCTCCTCAGTGCTCCCTCCCAATCGGGTCCCCTTTCCTCATTTTCTTGTATCCTTTCTGTCTGTGGCTCTCGCCCCTCCAAGCTCCCCACCCCGTGTCCCAGGCACCCAGCACTGCATTCAGTCTGTGTCTAATGCTGCATCAGTGGGGCGTGCATGCAGTTGAATCCAGTGTGTTTCAGCCTATCTGGCAGGGCCACAGCCTCTCTGAGGGCAGGGGCCAAGTACCACAAGCTGAGCACAGCGCTGGGCTCACAGCAGGCTCTCAGTCTGTGTTTATGAACAAATGATCTGACTAGAGCTGATATAGAGGGGCCCTCAGGGAAACTGAATGTAGCTGCTGCCCTCATAGTTTCCAGTCTAGAAGAAAAGCATTTTTCAAGCCATCACTGGAAGAAATGTAAGATGGTAATATGACAAGCTGAAGGTGTATTAAGGAAGGTACACTAGCTGACAGGTGCTTTTGAGACGAACTCTGAAGAATGACTGGGAGGTAAATGGATAAGAAAGAGAATAGAGGAGACTTTTTCCTAGAAGAAGCATGTGCAAAGGCCCTGTGACAGGAAGAAGTATTGAAAGTAGAAGGAACTATTAATAAATATGACCCATGTGGGTGAGGGAGGGTGAGCTGGTGGGGATAAGCTGGACAGGCAAAAAGGGGCCAGAGCCAGTGAAGGAATTTTGTCTTCTTCAGGGATGCCATGATTCGATCTATACTAGGAGAGTAAGCACTGCCCAGGTCAACTCTGTCCCTGACCAGCCTTCTGATGACCCCCAGTGTAAAGGGTTTAAAGTATCAGTACAAGTTGCAAAGGAAATCCAAACCATTTGGTGGGGGGGTTCAGACCACTGAACTCCCTTCCCTGCTCCTGAGGATCCCTGGAAGTAAATAACCCAGGTTAGCAAGCCCTGATGTGGTTGTGGACACATGAATTCTACCTGGGACAAATAGGCTGGGGGTCGGGGGGGACAGATGGCTAGGTCCCAAGCCCTGAATTTAGTGTAGAAGAATCTGTCTCCCTGACAGTTGACACCAACCCCTCCTCCTCCATTTCTCTAAAGTTGAGTTGGTGCACAGTAGGGCAGCCCCTGGACTTTGCTGCCTTTCATAAGCTTCTGGACTGCCTCGTCATAATCCAGAGGCCTAGCCATAATTCCTCCACTGTACACAGCTGTAGACTTGTACGATCTGCAGGCCCTTGTGGTTCCTGAGTCCAGCCCTCTTCTGGCTGTGAAATCCTCCAGATCTCTGCCAACCAGAGGGGAACATGAACCTCCAGATAGCTGGCCACCAGGGACATGATGTTTTTTTGTACGTTGAATTCAATTCTCTTTCATTTCTGCTTCTCTTGGTTCTTTCTCCTCCTCAAGTTTCAGCCAGGTGGGTTTCTTGGCTCCTCCAGTGCAGGAAGCTCACTCCTGCCCAGAAGCCAGGCTTTGCCTGCATCCACTCTTCTCAGGCCTCCTCCCTTCCCATCTATCTGGTCTCAGTTCAAATGTCTACTCGCTCCAAAGTAAGCCTCCACCTCCACTGCATTCCCTATTTCATTGCATTTCTTTTCCCTTCATGTTACTGTCTGTCTTAAGCATTTATTTTCTTGGTTTTTGTCTATTTCCCCCAACTTAGACTGTCAGCTCTGTCAGGGTGGGGAATTTGTCTCTCTGGGTCACCAGCGCCCAGGCACCATCTGTACACTCAATACTTGTTGAATGAATAATGGGAAACCCTGGTTGGGCTAAGAAAGCAAACCTGAGGTTTACCACTTATTCACTTCTTCACTCATCTATCATTTACCTTCAATCACAACGTTTCAGTTACTTCTCATGAAACTAAGCAATCTAAAATCAAGGTTCCTGTGTTTAACCTTCTCTCCAGATGCCACACTTTTCCTAAGCGTTGTCACTGTGTTGAGGCCTCTCGTGCCTAGCCAACGCCCCTTGTGACTCACTCAGTTACACCCGAGGCCCCCGGCGTCTCTGCCTGGCTCAGCTCCACCGTGTATGAGTCCACAGGGTTCAGGTTTCCAGACTCCCAGGAGATGAGCGCAGCCTCCTCGCAGCTCCTTATCTCTTTGCTTTTTATAATGGGGGGACAAGGCGCTAAATGCAGGGGAAATGGAGAGAGGAATAACCCTTCTGTTCACATCCAGCCTCGTGCTTCAGAACACAGCACATATCACAAGCCCTCTCTTCCTACAAGAGGTTCAGTGCAATAAAAGGCAAACCCGGTATTTCAGCCTAGACAATCATGTCCTCCTCCAAATTCCTATGTTGGAACCTACTCTCCAATGTGATGATACCTGGAGTCTCCCAGAAGTGCCTCGGTCCTGAGGGTTGAAGGGGTTTATTATACAAGGAAACCCAACGAACGCTCTTGCCCAGTTCCATCATAGGAGGACACCGCAAAAAAAGGCCACTCTGAACCAGGAAGTGTCCTCCCTAGACACTGAACCTGCTGGCACCTTGATCTTGGACTGCCCAGTCTCCAGAACCACAGAAATAAATCTCTGTTGTTTATAAGCCATCCAATGTGCAGCATTCTAACAGCCCAAAGGAGCACCAGGGAATCACTTGCAGATATTTCTGGAGTGGAGGATGGCTGCATGTGTGTCTGTGAAACTGGGTCCAAGGGCAGTGCTTTATCTTCTTTTGAGACCAACTGTGAAAAAATGTCCCTGCCATATCAGACATACAGATTTGGTGTACTAAATAAAAGGAAAGAAGTGCCAAGCTATTCCTGTCCTTCCAAGTGACATCAAAGCCCTGCCCCCATCAAGAAAGCCGAGACTTCCGGGTCCCCTTCAGTGAAGGTCCTACAAGTGGCCCCTTACCTGTCATGTACACCGCACGCTCACTGGTGGGGCTGAGGCCGGCCCTGTTCTGAGCTGTGACCCAAAATTCATACTGCGTGTTTGGCAACAGGTTTGTCACTGAGCAGTATGTTTCTTTGACAGTCATTGTAAACTCTGGGGGAAAAAATGATAGGATTTAAAGCCTAGAACTTCCCTGGTAGTCCAGTGGTTAGGAATCTATCTGCAAATGCAGGGGACACCAGTTTGATCCCTGGTCTGGGAGGATTTCATGTGCTGCGGGGCAACTCGGCTCATGTGCCACAACTACTGAGCCTGTGCTCTAGAGCCCTGAGCCACAACAAGAGAAGCCACCACAATGAGAAGCCTGCATACCACAACTAGAGGGCAGCCCCCACTCGCTGCAACTAGAGAAGGCCTGTGCACAGCAAAAAGACCTAGCACAAACATAAATAAATAAATGGAATTCAACCCCAAAATAGGTCAACTGGCTCCAAGTTCATTGCACTATAATCTATTTTCCCTGAGGTAGATACAGAACTGGCTACCAATCCCCATCGGCTGTGTATGCATGCCCCTCTGCAATGAGACTGCTGACCCTTCCATTGAGAGGACTGGTCTTTCCCATTATCCATTGCAGCTGGACTTAACCACGTGACTTTCTTTGGGCAACGGGACCACTTCAAACATGGTGCAAGAGAGGTTTGGGCAGTGCTGGGGCATGGGCTCCTTGTCCTCTTCCTGCCAGGAATGCTTCCACTTCCATGGAATGACCTGGACCAGCCTCCTGAAGAATGTGATCATGATGTGAACAGAGGCCCCCAGCATTGCAGTGGATGCCCTAGACATAACAGCAAGGCCATCCTAGCCTGTCCAGACCCACCCAAGCTGGTCCAGACTAGAACTATCTAGTTCATAGAATTATAATAAATTCTATCTAATTCATAGGATTGGATATAGTTTATAATAAAACTATCCAATTCATAGAATTATAATAAATAGTAAATGTAATTTAAAAAGTTGAAGTATCATTGATTTACAATATTAGTTTCAGGTGTACAACACAGTGATTCAATATTTCTATATATTCCATTTAAAGTTATCATAAAATATTGTATATATTCCCTGTGCTGTACAATATTGTCTTGTAGTTTATTTATTTTATACATAGTAGTTTGTACCTCTTAATTCCCTACTACTATCCTGCCCCTCGAAACAAATGAATGAACATAAAGTTTGTCATTTTTAGCTTATATGTTGGGTATACGTGTGTGTCGGGGGGTGTTGTTACACAGAAAAAGCTAACTGATACACCTCTAAACATGCCCAGACTCTTAAGGCAGTGACAGGTCATTAATCCACTCTCTGATATCAGTTCCTTTGTAACAAAGTGCTCATTGAAAAGATCTTTACTAGGATGTCCCCAGTAGTCTGGTGGTTAAGACTTCACCTTCCAATATAGGGGGTGCAGGTTCGATCCCACATGCCTTAAGGCCAAAAAATCAAAACATGAAACAGAAATAATATTGTAACAAACTCAATAAAGACTTTAAAAAATTTTAAAAATGTGATCAAGACATTAAAAAAAAAAAAAGATCTTTATCAATCACCAGGACAAAGCCCCCTAACAATGGCATTTTCTGCAGAGGGTGCCAACAGGGCTGGTTTGTAGCAAAAACTGCTATGAATCAGATCTGACTTTCTGGTCCTCAATCTCCCCTCCCATGCCCTCTTTAGTCCTTATTCTCTCCCTCATCATGGATTAAAGTTATCTTTCTCAAGGACTCCCATTCCTTCCTAACCCCTGGGCAGACAAATCATCCTCATCTTTGGCATTCAGAAACCTTTTATCTGCATGGACTAGTACAAGGGGAAGAGCTCCAGGCAGGGTGCCTGTGGACTCAATTCTCATTCCAGTTCTGCCATAACTTACGGTGTCCCCACGTGTCCGCTCATCTCTCTCTAGGTCAGCCATAAGATGGAGAGCTCTGAATCCCTTTCCCACAGTCTTGCTCTGACCCCATGCACACAGAACAGTCCCGGCCAGGCCCTGATCCTTCAGATGCTCAGCTGGAGCTCTTCGGCTGTCTGGCCCCCTTCTCAACAGGAGACTGGCTTGTCTACAAAGAGGGGACATCTCCCTCAGCCCTAACCCTGTGCCAGCCAGCTCCACTGCCCTGGGAAAAGGATGGGCTGAGGGCTGCATGCAGTGGAGGCCAGGGCCTTTCCACCTAGGAATGTGGGTCAGATTAGCAGCAGCCCTTCCAGGCTGCAGAGCCCTCCTCAGCCCCCTGGGGGTCTGCAGACTAACCTCCCCCTCAGGTTCTCCCAACACAGGGGACCTCAAGGAAAGCCCAGCCACCCTCGCATGCCAGGACCTGCTAGAACCCAGCCAGTCCCACTGGGCCTCCTCGAGGAGGGGTGTCCCCATGCGTCCTGCACATGGTGCAGCTAGAGACCCATCATCCCCAGGACAACCCTGATCTGATGGCTGTGGATACACTCCACGTATCTGAGCCCTATGATTCTTCCCAGCCAGGCCCCAATTTGCCTTCCCAGCCCTTCCTGCCATGCTCACCTGCCTGCACGACATCCTGCAAGGAGCTAGGTGTGCAGATTCACCCCATCGCTACCTCCCCAGGGCCCATGCTGGAGCTTGTTTCTGCTCCTGGCAGACCGCACCTGTTTGCTCCTTCCCAGGCGAGCCATCCTGCACTGGCCGGTAGGACAGCCGATAGCTCTCCACGGTGTCATCGGAGTACAAGCTCCAACACACTCGGACTGAGGAACCCGTGGCTGAGTTAGGGGCCTGTGGGTTTATCACTGGAGCAGAAGGAGCTAGAAGAGCAAAAGGGAGGAAAACAAAGACAAGTGAGGAGCCGTCAGTTAGAGGCACCAGATGGGAACGGCTGCTTTTACAGGACAATCCATCCCTCAAAGCATGCCATAGGCTTCAGAGATGGGACAGGCAGCCCAGGTGGCCGGGGGGGAGGCCAGACCCCCCAACCAGGAGCCTCAGTAAGAACCGGTTGTGTGCATCTTGCTCTGACCAACCCACATGAGCTGGGGGAGGCGGGGTTGTTTGCGTCTCAGGCTGGGGTGTTTGCAAGTCCTGCCCGAGGGAGGGATGGGTCCTTGGACTCCACCACACCATCCAAAGAGGCAGGATGGCCAGGATCACAGCACCACTGCCCTCAGTCCTACAGTGAACAGAGGAGGGAAAGAGCCTGCCACAACTGGCTCCTTCATTATGATTTCATTACGATGATAGATGATTAGGTTTGGAAACACTGTGCTTTTTCAGAACCAACTTTTTTTTTTGGACTGCGCTGTCTTCATTTTGGCACGGGGGCTTCTCTAGTTGTGGCATGGAGGCTCCAGAGCACATGGGCTCAGTAGTTCAGAATCAAACTTGTGTCCTCTGCATTGGAGGTGGGTTTTTAAAATTATTTACTTATTTATTTATGGCTGTGTTGGGTCTTTGTTGCGGCACAGGCTTTTCCCTAGCTGTGGCAAGTGCTTGGGCTATTCTCATTGCGGTGGCTTCTCTTATTGTGGCGCACAGGCTCTAGGGCACACTGGCTTCAGCAGTTGCAGCACGTGGGCTCCGTAGTTATGTCTTCTGGGCTCTGGAGCACAGGCTCAGTAGTTGTGGGGCATGGGCTTAGTTGCTCTGTGGCATGTGGGATCTTCTTGACCCAAGGATCGAACCTGTGCTTCCTGCATTGGCAGGCGGATTCTTGACCGCTGAGCAACCAGAGAAGCCCTGGAAGGCGGATTCTTAACCAGGGGCTCACAAGGGAAGTCCCCAGAACCAACTTCTTTCGAGCCCATCTACTGAGTTAATACTTTTCTTCTCTGTGGGTTAATAATTCTTCCTACCCCACCCCCACACACATCCAAGAAACATTCCTTGTTTGTCTTCCGTAATTTGTCACCCATGGCAGCATCTCCTTCCATCCGGGGCTTTCAAGAACATCCTTATTTTCAAATTCTGAAATTGTTCAGACCAGGCAGGACTTCATGGAATGTACTCAGCTTTTCCTTGCTGGTTAGGGGGTGGAAAGCCCCTAACATGACAAAAGTGAGAAGAGAAAGACCCTGTATCCCTACGTGATGTAGCTCAGGATGCACAGCAGATACCCTGTTATACCCTGCAAAGAAGAGTCCCCTCTGGGGAGGCAGTAAGAAGAGGGATGGCCCTGGATACAGGCTGGGGGCTGATGATCTGCCTGGGACCCGGACACAGGAGGGTGGGGAGAAACCACCACTATGTGTCTCAAGCACTGACTTAGGCAATAGTGCCTTCCCTTCCAAATGACTGGGTCTGATTATTTGGGCAATACCGTCCTGAGACAATCTAAAGGACTTCACAGCTCAGCGAAATCTCTCTTCAACTTGGGGAGTCTAAGAATGGCCTCCAAGACTCCAATTAAGGATGTTCATTGTAGTATGGTTTATAAGGATGGAAAACCTAGAAGCATCTTGGCACCAACAGTTGAGGATTAAGGTATACAGCCATTAAAATGATGTCGCAGAAAAATTTATCAGTGAGAATTAAGTACACAGATTAAGGTATAGAGCCATTAAATGATGCCATCGAAAAATTTATCAGTACAAAATAATATTCATCACAAATGTTTTGCTAGGGAAAAAAAAAGCAGATTATAAAACAGGATGATTTCATTTTTATTAAAAAAAAAAAAAACACTTGTGTAAAGGAAAAACCTAGGACTTCCCTGGTGGTTCAATGGTTGTGAATCTGCTTGTCAGTTTAGGGGACATGGGTTTGATCCATGGTCCAGGAAGATTCCACACGCTGTAGGGCACCTAGGCCCATGTGCCACAACTACTAAGCCCATGCTCTAGAGCCCATGAATCTGTGCTCCACAAAAGAAGCCACTGCAACAAGAAGCCTGTGCACTGCAACCAGAGAATAGCCCCTGCTTGCTGCCACTACAGAAAGCCTGCACGCAGCAATGAAGACCCAGCGCAGCCAAAAATTAATTTTTTAAAAGATTGTAAAAAAGTCTTTTGAAGAAGGAAAACCTAAAATGATAAAATAAAACATTTTTCATAACGTTCCTGGGTGTTGCTGGATGAGAAAGGAAAGATGATATTAAATTCTAGTATCAGTCTTAAAAAATGAGTCCTCACAATAAGATTTTTAAGAGCTACCTGGCACCATGTGACATACATCCATTACTTATTTATTTCTCACCATGTCCTCATGAGTCATTGTTATGTCCATTTTACCAAGGAAACCAAGGCTCAGAGAGGTTAGGTAAGTTGTCTAGGGTCACATAGGTAGGAAGTAGCAGGGCTGGGATTCTCGCCAGCTCCATAGGATTCCAAAATCCATCTCTTAATCCTATGCTAAAAACAACCACTTGAGAGGGACATAAATACAACATTCAAGGAAATAAACTTTGGGACACTTGTTTGGAGTAAGATAGGCTGATGGGGGCCGGATGCTGGCCCCCAGGAGAGGGAGGGGGGGTATTTACCCTGGGAAGGCCAACCTCTGTTTTCACCCTTACAAGCCATAAAGACATAAACAGGAAGCTCATGCAGCTGGTGGGGGAAAATGCCTGTTTCTAGATCTTTACGATTTTTTTTTTAGCCATCAAAGTTTTTAACTCAAAGCTCAGGGAAATTGGTGTCAAGTATGCACCTAGGTGAGACACACACCTGGGATGGTGTTAATGGAGCCCATCAGCTCCTCCACATCAGAGAAATCCAAGGTCTGGTCTTCAAAGTCAGGCTGCGCTGAGATCTCCACATCTGTTTTTGTTTGCAGGAATTTTCCGAGTCTATCGGTATAAAAAGACACACTAACAAGAATGGAGGGATACTCTTCCCCAGGGTCACTAGTGAGCAGCAATGAGGGCCTCTTTACTGAACTATTTTTTAAAATAATCATTTTATTTTTGGCTGCACCAGGTGGCATGTGGGATCTTAGTTCCCCAACCAGGAATCGAATGAACCTGTACCCTCTGCATTGGAAATGTGGAGTCTTAACCATTGGACCTGCCAGGGAAGTCCCTAGCTGAACTCTTATTTCCTTATTTTAAAATGCTGCGGGCGGCCTTCTGGCCTATGCTTCAGTGACTGACCTATGAAGTCACTGGAGGGGATAGGTGTGGCTGGTTTACACCTTTGAGGAGAGAAGGGGTAGGGTCATGTCAGAGGGTGGGGGTCTGGCGGATGTGGGCCAAAAAGCCCCAGATCCACACCTTCTGGAAGATCCTTAGATGCTGACCTGGGAGCTCCCACCTCCACACCACCCCAGGACCCAGAGACACACAACCTCTCCACACGGTCAAGTACCCTAAAGTCGATGAGCATGAACTGGGGCTCTGGGTCTTCTGCACCTGCTCCCAGCTGTCACAGGGTTTGTAAGGAGCAGAGGCAGAATTTGAAACCATGTCTATCTTTTGCCAAAGCTTCTGATCTTAACCCTGACATTATTAAACTTCACTGTTTGTGTTGCTTTACAGACATTGTCTGATTTTATTCCCACAAAGTTATCCCTGTTTGTCAGTAAGGAAGGTGAGTCCTAGACTGGTTGGACTTGCCCAAGGTCATGGGGGTATCAGGATTTAAATTCCTGTCTGACTCCATAATGTGCATGCTTTCTGCAGCACACAGTCTGGGTCCTGGCTTAGCTGGGGGACGCTGGGGACACTCTGACTTTTTTGCTTTTTGACCACGTGGCATGTGGGATCATAGTTCCCCAAACAGGGCTCGACCCACGTCCCCTGCAGTGGAAGTGTGGAGTCTTAATCACTGGAACACCAGGGAAGTCCCACTCTCTGGATCTCTGTTACTCCTGGTGAAAGGAGGGGTTCGGGGAAACCCCACCCCGGCTTGAAGGCTGAGTCTCACCATATGCTCCCTTCCAGCTCTGAGATTCTAAGATTTAGTACCAGAGGGTCCCTGTGGTCCCACACTGTCACTCCAAAGCCAGTGCTATTTACTCTTGGGGCAGACACAAAAGCTGAACCTGGGAGCATATAACCAAGGGGAACTGATACCTAGTCAGGTATCTAGAGGTAAAAGGGACAGAAAAAGAAAATACATGTCAGAACAAAAGTATTACCTGTCAGCCATAGCCACAGCATCCTAAAAAGGAGGAGAAAGAGAAAAAAATATTAAACTGATTTTGGAAATAAATTTCTTTTTCAAACTATATAATAATATAAATGTATCTTAAAACTTGGAAGTTAGTAGAAGAGAAAAATCAGCCACTTTCACACCCTAAACAAAAATGACTCTTATGACGTCTGCAGTTTCTTCCCATTAACATGACGTGAGCATGTTTGCAGGTGACAAATGGTCTTGGGGATCATCAATTTGAAAGACTGCATCATGGTTCATTGAATGGGAACTCCATCATTTACTTTATTGTTATACATTTTGGCTGTTTCTAATTTCTCACTACTATAAATAACAGAGAAGACATACTCATATATCTCACTTTCTCCACATTCTAGATTATGTCTGTGAGCTATAGTGATACTGTGGACAAATTGGTTCAAAAGGTCTGAGCGTTGAGGGCTCTGACGGTGGCTGCCAACCTGCTGTTCAGGTTCCATCACACACCCCGCCCTCACCCCAGGCATGGCAGGAGGGAGGGGCTGTGGGGCTTGGAGGACCACTATGGGCATGGCCAATGGAAAGGGCATATTTGGCAACTAGGAAGCTCTGGAGGCTAGGGGCCCCTCCCTCACATCCTGGATCCCACGTCTACCCCACATTCCTGTGGGACCCTAAAGAAAGGAGACCCCAGCTCTGGCTGAGATTGAAATTCCCAGTCTGGCTGCATGGGGACTTGGAGTCAGATTGAGGAGGATTTTAAGGACTTTTTTTTGCATGTCTGAACTTATGAACTAAGATGTCTAACAGCGGCACTTATAACTGAGAAACAGGAGGTACCTTTCTAGCCTGGACATCTTTCTCCCCCGACCTCTGAGAGATCATCTGAGATGGACAGAAAAGTCCCAGAGTCCTGTTTTTGCCCCACTCCACGGTGAGAGCACCTATCTCTGGGTAACCAGGACAGAGGAAGACAGACTCTGGTGTTTAGCTGAGCAGTTGTGGAGGGGAGGGTCAGCTGTGTACGAGCCTGCTTGGCTACCCACGGTGAAGCTGTGCAGTGAGATGGGGGATGTGTTGTCATGGTTACACATTCAGTGGAATCAGATGGATGCTGACCATGAAAGTTGGTTCCAACCCCTCCAGGCAGAGAGGGGACAATCTAACCTACTCGGGCCATGACTGTCATTCCAGTTCATTATTTCATTTCACTTCATTACTGACCTTTATGAAATCAACCTTCTCTTCGTGACACATCTCCTCTATTGTTTCCATCAGCTCTTTGCAGGTGTCAAGATTTTCTCCACAGTTGACCAGCTGTCCATACAAGGCTTCCAGCTTCTCTTTCTTTTTCTCCCCTAGAGCTTGTATTTTTTCTTCATATTTTTGAGAAAGTGTTTCCAAGATCTCGTTGTAATGAGACTCAAAGTTTTGTTCTTGTCTTCCAAAATTCTCCTGTAAGATATAGTTGATCTCAGCTGTCATTTCAGTGCATGTATGTTGACTATAGAGTCATTTGGGGCATGAAAATGTATCTACTCAGAGATGTTTTGGTCCCTCCCTGTTAATCTTATTGTCTCTTGTCAGGATGCTGAGGTGGACAAAGGTGGAATTAGGACCAGGAGTCTCCAGCTAGAATCCCAGGGATAATCTTAACAAGCAGTATTGCTTTCTTTGCTGGTGGCATTTTACAATCCTCTTCCCCATACCCCACCCACCTCTGGTGTAGCCACTGCCTATCACCATGACAACCGACCCAGAAGATTATCATGATTATTATTACTGTAATGAGTCTGCCACTGGAACTCTGGACCTTAACATGAAGACGTCTGCCCTGGAAGAGTCGTACCTAACTTGCTTTCCCTCTTGAGCTCTCAACATCTCATGACACTCACCTCCACTCCTTGATGGTTGAATTATACAAACATCAGGATCACACAGACCCTCATAACAACCAAGAAAAAGATGCAGGGGGAGGGGAATAACCCAGGTGGTGCTGCCTAATAGATCAGAAAAAGCAGGAAGACAGTGAGAGGGCTGTGCCAGTATTTAATCCTAGAGTGCAATGAATGGGAAATATTATTTAAATTTTATCAACTCCTGGTCCCCCTTAGACTGGAAACCCAGGACAGCTCTGCAGTTCAGGGAGTATTTAGTCTTATCAATCATTCAGGGAGTATTTACTGAGTATTGACTGTGTATGTAAGACTTGCTCGGAATGCTGGAAGAGAGGGAGAAGCGGTAGGTGACCGCCACCAGTGCTGAGTGTAAAGGAAGAGGTCAGAGTCCTCACAGAGGGTGGAGACACTGTTAACTGAGAGCAGTGGGTGGCACGGAGTGTAGGTGCTTTTTCCTGGCTGCTGTACACTTACCCTCCTGTCACCCCCACCCAATGCTTAGATGTGGAAGGGCTGGTCCCTTCCCTGTGTCTTCCATAGGAAATTAGTGCAACAGCTCCCCTCCCTTTTAAGACTGGGGGTGGGGAGGGAAGTCTAGCTTCATGGGAAAGGAACCCAGGGCTTAGTTCATTCACACAAGATGCTCCCATTGATGCAATCTGAGGCTGCATTAACAGAGGTCGAGCACCCACATGAAGGGAGGGGACATAGGAAGTCCTCTGGTCCCCTTCCGGGCTACCTCATCCGGATGGCTAGGTTGTGTGCTGGTGTCAAGCAGTAGATGATACACCACCAGGCACACCCAGGGAACTGTGACACGTTTGGTGACAGGCACAGAAATTTATTGGCTATGTGAGAAACAGGTACCATCTAAGGAAAAGAAGACATCAGTGAAACGATGGGTGTCTTGCAATGTCTGTTTGGCTGGCCCATGAAAGAGTCCTAACTTATAGTGAGGGTGGAGACATGAAGATACTGAAGACCCAGCCCATGAGAGCTAACAGTTCAGTAAGGAATGCTGCCAGGTAATTGGTTCCACAGGTTTATGCCCCTGCGCTACAGGAAGGCAGACAGAGGGCTGAGGGAACAGGAGCTGCAACAACACCATACATTCCAAGAAACAGGTTCCCTAATTCATACCAGACACAGCTGCTGACTCAACCACTCACAGCTGCATGTATCTGATGGAGTCACTGAGCATGCTCTTACCTCCACCGTGATGAAAACCTCTTCTAAGTGACTTGCAAAGTTTTCCATCTCAATAATTTGCTTTTCCAACTTGTACATATTTTTGTGAATTTCATCCTGTCAAATAGAGGATCCCAAGAAGGCATTAACACTATATTTTCTTTTTCTCTTTCGTAGAAGGCATTTTAGATTCATCCCCTGCCTTCATACTTGAGATACAAATACAATCTCAACAGAAAGAAGACCTAAGCAGACCTGCTTACCTTGGCGCTCTCCAGGGCTTTACTGAGCGGGGTCACCTCATGCTGCTTGTGTTCATCCTGATCCTTCTCTGATGCTCTTATTGGAGTTTTGCAAGTGACACAGAAGACGTCAGCTGCTTCTTCCTCGTCCTCCTCCTCTGGGATGACGTAGCACTCATACTCCTCGCTGGCACGGCCGTGGCTGTACCTATAGGCTTCCCGCAAGTCCTGGCACTGGCCTACTGAGCCCCAGCCCATGAAGCCCAGGTCCTCACCCTGAGCCGCCTCACCAGTAAGTCTCCAGTCTCTCTGCTCACTCCCCATCATCATATAAGAAGGATATTCTGAAACCTCTATTCTGGGTGTGTTTTCCTCAATAAACTCATCCCCTAATTCGTGATCATCTTCAAGTCCATAGAGATGGACAAGTTCATCCACTTCCTCTCCAAGGTCTCTCTGAGCCTTCCCTTTCACGCCCCCTCTCATGGGCTCATGGGTCATTTCAGCTTGGACACCTTCTCTTCTCATCCGAGTACTCTCTTCTGGGAAGATCTGCAGTCTGTCTTCAGAGTCATACAGATCCATGTGATAGAAGCGGAAATCCTTAGAAGCAGCAGACCTGCCCAGCCCTGGTGCCTCCCCAGCTCCCTCCTCCATCGCAGCTCCAGGCAGCTCCTCTGTACAAGGAGGACTCTTCCTGGACAGTCCTTAGTGGATCTCCTGGGTCCTAGAACACAAAACCCCATTTCTGAGAAGGTCGTTGCAGCAGATGGTTATTTCATTGGGCTCAACTCATTCGCATTAAAAAAAAAAAAATCTCATCTGAGCATCTCAGTCGTAGTTTCACTTTAAACAATCTGTTAGGAAAGGTTTGCTTTCTGCAGGAGGATGGACTTCCTGAAGCTCCAATACTTTGGCCACCTGATGCCAAGAGCTGACTCATTGGAAAAGACCCTGATGCTGGGAAAGATTGAGGGCAGGAGGAGAAGGCGGCGACAGAGAATGAGATGGTTGGATGGCATCACTGACTCAATGGACATGAGTTTGAGCAAACTCTAGGGAATAATGAAGGACAGGGAAGCCTGGCACACTACAGTCCACAGCGTTGCAAAGAGTCAGACACAACTGAGCAACTATACAACGACAACAAAGCTTAAAAGAGACAGGAGAAATTATGAACAAAAATATAAATTGGGGGCTTCCCTGGGTGGCTCAGTGGTAGAATGCCAATGCAGGACACACGGGTTCAATACCTGATCCTGGAAGATCCCGTATGCTGCACAGCAACATGCGAGCCCATGTGTGAGCCCGTGACCACAACTACTGAAGCCTGCGTGCACTAGAGCCCATGATCCCAGACGCCACGCAGTGAGAAGCCCGTGACCACAACTACTGAAGCCCGCGTGCGCTAGAGCCCATGATCTGAGACGTCACACAGTGAGAAGCCCGTGACTGCAACTACTGAAGACCGTGTGCGCTAGAGCCCATGATCCCAGACACCAAGCAGTGAGAAGCCCGTGACCGCAACTACTGAAGCCCGCGTGCGCTAGGGCCCATGATCCCAGACGCCACGCAGTGAGAAGCCCGTGACCACAACTACTGAAGCCCGCGTGCTAGAGCCCATGATCGAGACGCCACGCAGTGAGAAGCCCATGCATCACAACTAGAGAGTAGCCCCTACTTGCTACAACTAGAGAAAGCCTGCACAGCAATGAAGAAACAGCATAGCCAAAATAAATAAATAATTAAATATTTAAAAAAAAACAACTGAGCAGCTCAGTTGCAGTTTCACTTTAAACAATCTGTAAAGAAAAGTTTGCTTTCTACAGGACTATGGGCTTCTAAAGCTTAAAAGAGACAGGAGGAAAAAAAAAAGAGACAGGAGAAATTATGAAAAAAACAAANAAAAAAAAACAACTAACTGAGCAGCTCAGTTGCAGTTTCACTTTAAACAATCTGTAAAGAAAAGTTTGCTTTCTACAGGACTATGGGCTTCTAAAGCTTAAAAGAGACAGGAGGAAAAAAAAAAGAGACAGGAGAAATTATGAAAAAAACAAACAAACCATAAGTTGATTTGATTAACAAATGATCTCTATACATTTAAAAACCTAAAAAATCCCCAAAGGCAAAATAATAGGAAGTGTTTCAGGCAATTATTATTAAATAAATTATGTAAATTAATTGAAAAGAAAAATCTCAGTAGTAAGGAATATTCACAAAATAATTTCCTTTGCATATACTGTTACCTATGCAAAACCATTTGGAAAATAGTTCATCCTTATGAGTAACAGGGGCTTCCCCAATGATTCAGTGGGTAAACAATCCACCTGCAATGCAGGAGACACAGCAGATGTAGAAGACTTGAGTTTGATCCCTGGGTCGGGAATATCCCCTGGAGGAGGAAATGGCAACCCACTCCTGTATTCTTGCCTGGAAAATTCCCATGGACAGAGGAGCCTGGCGGGCTGCAAAGCGTCAGACATGACTGAGCACATAAACTCATGTATGAATAATAGAGAATAAACATGGAGATGATGTTTTGCCTTTCAAACCCCAAGACTAGGGAAGGATCCATGAAGTGAATACTCTTACATGTTGTTGGTTAGAATGTACACGTTCCACCTTTCTGGAGAGTGAATGTGGCAACATGGATCAAGAGCCTTAGAGATGTTCACACCACTCAGGGACTTCCCTGGTGGTCCAGTGGTTAAGATTCTATGCTTCTAGTGCAGGTGGTGCAGGTTTGATCCTTGGTGGAGGAATTAAGATCTCACATGCTGCGCAGCCAAAGATAAAAAACAGTTCACACTTTCTAACCTAATAGACCTTTTCTAGGATCCTAAAGAAAAAAATCTCAAATATAGCAGAAAACATTATTTCTATATAAAAATGTCCACCACAAATTTTTTTATAATAGCCAAAAAATAAAAACTGTAACGCCCTAATAATTAGGAGAATCATAAAAAAACTAGAATATGCACACCCTGTAAAATATAATGTAGCCTTTAAAATGTTAGGGAGAGCAAAGGATACCTTGGGGAAAGACTTATAATACGATACTAAGTAAAATAAACAGAGTACTCACTATATATAGACTATGAGGCCTACTATTTTAATGGAAGTGCATAAAATCTAGAAATAAATAATAATAACAGCAGCAAATACAGTATCAGTAGTAGCTACTGCATGTTGAGCACTTACTGTGTATTTTCTCCTGTGCTAGGCAGTTAATTAATTTTTTTTAGCCACAGGGCATGTGAGATCTTAGCTCACAGTCTAGGGATCGAACCTGTGCTCCCTGCAGTGGAAGTGCAAAGTCTGAACCACTGGACCACCAGGGAAGTCCTTGTGCTAAGAAATTTTACATACATTTTTTTGTGCCGTAGCTACTACTATTATCCCCATTTTACAGACTGGGAAACAATTGACTCCCAGAGGGTATCTTGTGCAAGGAAGGTCACATGGCTAGTAAGTTGTTGAACTGGGATTTGAATCTGAGTGTGTGTAGTGGCCATGAAACTGAGCCTCACAGACATCCAATTGTAGGGGCCATAACCAGGGGTTTCAGCTATACTCTGAAAGTCACTGTTACATTTGCATGGGGAACACACTTCCTGTTGGCAACTCCCATCCGATGACAAAGGCAGGGACACCAAGGCAGATCCATTTCTGATTGACACAAACTATTCTGGTGGCAAATCTTGGCTGCAGGACTTCTTGACAGCCATGCCAGACCTCTCCTAGAGTGTGTGGTAGGCTAGGACAGTTCTCCAAACCTTCCTTCCTTCTATCCATATCTGACCCCAGCCTTTCCTATTTTTTTCCCCTTTATAATCTCACACAATAAAACAGTGTGAGATTATAGTTTATAATTATAGTCCCCTAATAAAACATAATCCCCTATGTTTTTTTATATTTTTCCAGTCCTCTAGATTATAGTCCCCTAATAAGACAGTGTGTATCTAACTTCTAATTTGGTGCCTGCTTCTTGGAAGGCCTTGTTAACAGAGTCTGTTGGACTATAAAGTCCCTGCTTGCTTCTTGGCACAGAATTGCCATTACATTACTTTTTGGTAATACTTTAGTGTTTGTTGCTCAGTCGTGTCCAACTCTTTGTAACCCCACAGACTATAGCCCATCAGGCTCCTCTGTCCATGGGATTCTCAAGGCAAAAATACTGGAGTGGGTCGCCATTTCCTTCTCCAGGGGATCTTCCTCCAGGGGAATGAACCTGAGTCTCCTGCATTGCAGGCAGATTCTTCACTATCTGATCACCAGGGAAGCCCCTTGCTTTAATTTATACATAGTTTACATGAACAGAGGAGCCTGGCAGGCTACATCCATGGGGTCACAAGGGTTGGACATGACTTAGTGACTAAACAACCCACCTGCCTAAAGGCTATACTTCAGTGCTTTTTAGCATAGTCACAAAAACGAGCGATGATCTCCACAGTCAATTTTAGACCATTTTAATCAACTCAAAAAGAAACTCTGGGGACATCCCTGGTGGTCCAGTGGCTAAGACTCTGAGCTCCCAATGCAGCAGGCCCAGGTTTGATCCCTGGTCAGGAAACTAGATTCCCACATGCTGGAACTAAGGGTTTACACACTACAGTGAAGATCAGTGATCTCGTGTGCTACAACTAAGACTTGGCATAGCAAAATAAATAAAATAAATATTAAGAAACTCTGCACTCATTAGCTATCATGACTCATACCCCCTCATTTCCACTAGCCCTAAGCAACCACAAATTTATTTCCTATCTGTACAGGTTCTCCTATTTGGACACTTCATATAGATGGAATTGTATTGTATGGTACATGGTCTTTGGTGACGAGCCTCTTTCTTAGTGTAGTTTTCAAGGTTCATCCAGGTTGTTGTATATGTCAACACTTCCTTTCTTATTAGAGCTGAATAATATCCTACTGGATGGATATATCATATTTTGTTTTGTTTATCTAGTCATCCATTGATTCACACCACTTCCCATTTCATTTGGGTTGATTCCACCTTTTGGCCATACTAAATAATGCTACTAAAACATGTACAAGTTTTTGTGTGCACATATGTTTCATCTCCCTTGGGTAGATGCCAAGGAGTGGGATTTCTGGGTCAAATAGTAACTCCCTGTTTAACTTTTGGAGGAATACCAGACGGTTTTCCAAAGTGGCTGTATTATTTTACATCCCTACCAGCATTGTATGAAGGCTCTGATTTCTCCATATCCCTGTCATCATTTGTTACTGTCGATTTTTTTTTTTATCATAGCATGAAGGCAGAAGTGAGCCAGGTTGGCAGGCAGGTGAGCAAAGAAGAGTAGGAAGCACTGTACAGGCATAAAGTGCGCTGCATTCCAGGATCTAACGCCTGACGATCTGAGGTGGAGCTGATGTAGTAATAAAAGAAATAAAGTGCACAATAAATACTATGCCCTTGAATCATCCTGAAACCATCCCCCACTCCCAGTTCATGGGAAAACTGTCTTCCATGAAACCACCCCTGGTGCCAAAAAGGTTGGGAACTGCTGTGGGAGGAATGACAGAGAGGTCACCAGGTCTCATGAGAGACCCTCAGCTAGAATCTTGCAGATGAATCTGAATCTGAATCTGAATCTGCTTTCAGATTCCTGGCCCTCAGGAACCATGCAAGAAATGAACATTTGTTTACTGTTTGAAGCTACTAAATTTTGGCAAAAAATTATCATGCAGCAATAGACAACTACTACA